AAGAATTGTGAATGGTTTTAGGTTTCTATACTATGAAACAGTTTCTCGCCAATCCTTTATCACCCTTTCCCTGACACTGCTCTCTATAGGTATTTTCTGTGTCCAGTAGCATAAAGAATTTCAAGGTAAAAAATTCATAACCCCCCTCATCCAATTCCACTACAAGGCAGAATCTATGTGCATGATGTCATTATAAAATGATTAGATGAGGAGCTGGTGAGATGGCTCAGTGGTTAGGAGCATTGACAGCTCTTCTAGAGGACATGGGTTCAATTTCAAAAACTCACATGGCAGCTCACAGCCATCTGTAAGTCCAATAGCAGGGAATACAACACCCCAATACAGTATACATGTAGGCACAAACTTCAATGTACATGATATAAAAATAATTAATAAAAATGTTACAGATGATAAATGAGCATGAATAGGAAGAAACCCTGCTTCCACATTTCATCCTGAGCACTGTATCTCCATCCTGTTCCTGCAGAAGCAGTCTCCCCAGGGAATATCAACCAGTTTCACCTCTGCATGTTGGATGTGGAAAGGATCTGTTCCATTCTGTGTGCAATAAGAAATAAGAGCTCCAAACCTAGACCACATTGAGAAAGAAAGACTCAGGCTAATGCATCTCAATTCTCTTTTTTTAATTTTTTTTTTGGTGGAAAATGGAGTTTGGGGGCTGGAAAAAATGGCTCAGAGGTTAAGAGCACAACTGCTCTTCCAGAGGTCCTGAGGTCAATTTCCAGCAAACACATGGTGGCTCACAACCACCTATACTGGCATCTGGTGCTTTCTTTTGGCATGCAGGCAAACATGTAGGCAGAACAATGTATACATAATAAGTAAGTAATCAAATCATCAAGAAAATCAATGTTTTCATGTAATATATTCTGACCATTGCTTTCCTCCCCACATCTCCTTTCAGATCCTCCCCCTGTCCCCACCTACGTAACTTTGCACTTCTCTATCTTTTTAGAAAACCAGCCAGTGAGTAAACAAACCAGAATAGGACAAAAGAAGAGAAAAAATAAAAAGAATAAGAAGCACATATACATATATGCAAAAATACATGCATAAATAAAAATTCATAAAAACACAATATTGGAAGCCATAATATATAAGCAAGCAACCAATGTGTAAAATAATGCCCAGACAAATAATTATGAGATTAAAAAAACTCTAAAAATAAAATTGAGCTCATTGAGTTGGCCATCTATAGCATCTATAGCTGGATATGAGGCTTGCCCTTAAGAGTGGTTTGTGTACCCAGTGAAGTACTATTGGCAAAAACTAAGTTTTCCTCCTTGAGAGGTTGTCAATTGGAGATAGCTTCTTGGTTAGGGATGAGGGATTGTGTTCACTTCACCTCTCAGCACTGGGATCCCATCTGTATAGGTCCTCTGCAGGCCATGTGCTTGTTGTCACCATCTCTGTGAGTTCATATGTCAGCCAGGCTTACTCTGTGGATGGCATTATTTCCTTAATGCCTCCATCTCAACTGACTTGTATAATCTTTCTGCTTCCTCTTTGCAAAATTCTCTGAACCCTGAGGGGAGAGGTTTGATGGGGACTTTCCACTTAGCACTGGGTGTTGTGATGAATCCTCGGCGAATGGAGGAAAAATGAGAGGAGAGGCCCCTGCAAGCTGTCTATTACAGGAGATGGTACCAGGGGAACTGTAATGTTGGACAAGAAGGACAGTGAAGATGACCTACCTACTTTCCAAGTCTATATGTACACTGAGTTACCAGTTAGACATTGTTTATAGCTTTTCACAGTTGAGACAAAGGAAAGGGAGTGAGCCAGAAATGGGGTGGTGTGCTGCTTGAAGGGGTCCAAGGGAAGGAGAAAAGTTGAGTTTGTTGTGAAGTTTGGCATATTCTCCAGGGAATCTACCACTGCTCTTCTATGAGTAATTTAGTCTAAATGTGGTGGGAGTGAGTAAAATGGATGGTGCTATCCTCAAGAACAAATGCCTTCTGAGAACTTCCCAAAGTGTAGTTCCTATGTGTATTTGTGATTCCAGGTCAGGACATCATCTCTGGAAAGTAAGATATATGCATACAAACATCATATCTGTATTGTCAACAAGATCTCACTGTAATGGAAAGAACATTATTATTTTGCAAATGAAAAGGGAGAGTTGCTTGAATGATCTGAGCACTCTGTAAATACAGTTCCAGATATCAGATATAAGAAATCTCTCTCTCTCTCCTTCTCTCTCATACACATATACACACAAATACATTGCATATGCATTTATGTATGAAAAATCTTGTATATACGTTTACATACGAAGTACTATACATAATGTATGGCAGATTTAAAGATGGAAAACAGAATCACTAGTGTGTATAAATACCATTCTTGATCTCTCGGCACTAGGACCCTGTTGATATGCTGCTTTATGTGTCTGAGTCCCTCACAGGTCAGAGAACACTTCAGCAGAGGCCTCACTGTTAAGGGTGCAACCACAAGGTGGTAGTAGACCTCAGCTGCTGGGGAGTATGAAGAGAATACTTTTCCTTGTATGCTGGTTGTGCAGGCTTGGGGCAGAACCAGAGACATTTTCTCAGTGGCTGAGTGGATGACTCTAGAAGTAGAATTCTTACTGAAAAAGAACAACACCCTGGAAGTTATATCTGAACTGCAATTATCACAAACTACACTAGATCGTTATTTAATTGGAAGAACAATGAAGACATATGTTCCCACTTTATTCATGATCCTGTGGCTGAAGATGGATGGTGAGTTAAGATTTTTGGAACACAGAATACTCTGTGGGCATTTCTGAGACATCCGGAAGGAACTTTATTTTATTCAGGTTTTCTCTAGTGATTGCAGAAAGAGAGAATCCTGGAAAGTGAAGACCAGATGACCTTACCCCTTTCTGTCCATTTCTTTGCATAGGGGTGAGCCACGGAGAGCAGGTGGAGCAGCTTCCTTCCACCCTGAGAGTCCAGGAAGGAGCCAGCGCTGTCATCAACTGCACTTACACAGACAGTACTTCATCCTACTTCCCTTGGTATAAGCAAGGACCAGGAGAGCATCCTAAGCTCATTATTGACATTCGATCAACTGTTGAAAGAAAGCAGGACCAAAGACTGATAGTTTTACAGGATAAGAAAACCAAACACTTCTCCCTGCACATCACAGACACCCAGCCTGGGGACTCTGCCATGTACTTCTGTGCTGCGAGTGCACAATGCTACGCAGGCACCTGCAGCCTGTCCTCAAACCTGACACAGGGCCTGGAGCCCCATCCACATCCTGTGTCACAGGCTTTCCAGTGCAGCATTTGTCAGTTGTTAGTTGGCAAGTGCCAGCTATGGTGTAGACATTAAAATACACAAAATAAGAAAGTTAGCTTTAAGTCACTCAAAACAATTTAGGAGAATTTCCACCTTATTCCGTTTTTAAAAATTATTCTAAATCTTGAAATACAATTTTGTCATTTCCTGTCTAGGTACCAAACTGTGCTTCAGAGAAGAAGAGGATGTGACACACTAGGCTCCAAGTGGAACATCTCCATCACACATCCTCCTCCAATGATCAGAGGTCACTGCAGAGGAGAGCAGAAAGAATGCAAGGCAGGGGATGAGAACAAGGAGATAGTGTTTTCTGGCCATAGCAGGGTAGCTACTCACATGAACTCCCAGAGGTCTACAACATACATAAAACTTGCAAAGGATAAATTCCGACACAAATCCAGCAAGCAGAGGGAAGGTGGACATTTCCACCTTTAGCCAAGGAGCTACGGGCAATTGGTAGCTGCTGGGAGGATCCATATTTCTTTATTGGTGCAACCCTTGGTGCATAGACTACTCTCGACTGATGGCCACACATCCAAGAATATATGGGCTGTACAAACCCTGATGTGTTTATTTTAAAGGAGGGGGAACTAGATTGTCAGGGAATAGTGGCAGGAGTGTAGGCAGCAGGTTAATATACTCAAAATTTATTTCATAACATACCCTAAGATCTAGTAAGATTAAAAACATATTAAATCATAGGAGGTATGTAAATACACACACACACACACACACAAAGTTAATGTTTTAATATTTAAAATGAATTTCTGTACTGTTAGGATTGCACAGTATACTGTTCTCTGCAGCCACCATAAGCAATAACACACCAGCACTGGTGTCCCAGTCACTCTGGGTGCCAAATCTCCTACATTATCTTTCCCCAAGCCACTACTTCCTATGCGGTCAATTTTAAACAACATTAAGAACAAATCTTGCCTGGTGCAGGATTATCCCAGTTTTTAAAATGCATTCAAAACTTTGAAACCATTACATTTATACATGCTTGATCATTATGTTCCAGTTTCTTTTCTTTTTCTACTGTGGTGATTTTGCTTAAATTATTTCAAAATTTCAATATTTCAAAAAAGACTCTTTTTGTTTTCATTGTATATGAGGAAAGGTCTGTCTGACACTTGTGTACAGGTTCTGAGGAAGACAGAAGAGAGCATCCAGTCACCTGGAGCTGGAGTTACATGCAGCTGTGAGCCACCTGATGTCTATGCTGGGGAGGGAACTAAGGCCTCCAGAAGGACAAGGACCTTTATCTGCTGTGCCATCTCTCAGGCCCCAGAAAGGTCTTCAATCAGAACAAGCTCCTGTTTCCTGAGTTCAACATTTAGCTGTTGCTTCTCTGAGTGAGCCAGGCTCTGGGACTGAGGCTTTTTCTCCTGGGAAGGGGCTTTTCCTCTCCTGCTTCCTGGATCCCTAATTCCAAACAATAGGAGGGTCATCTTAAAACATCCCCTACCCCCATTGTGCAGCACCCAGACTCTCAGCCAGGTCTGACTGGGAAGAACTTCAGGCTGAGAAGCCTGGGGTGGGGAGGGGGGGGAGGAACTCTGCAGTGTCTGGTCTGGCAGGGTTCCTGGGTGGAGCTGCCTGGAGCAGGAGGTGGGACATTCACAGCCATCCTGACACCACAGCCCAGGGCTTGGTTACTGCTTCTGTCTCTAGCATCCACACAGCACCATGAAGAGGCTGCTGTGCTCTCTGCTGGGGCTGCTGTGCTCCCAGGTTTGCTGTGAGTCTGGCTGTCCACACTCAGGGACAGAGAGGACTGTGCTGGGCACATGGAGGGTGGGGAAGCAGCTCAGGAGTCCTGCACAGCTGCCTCCTTCTCAGAGGACTTGGGGTGTGTTCAGGGTTCTGTGGATGCTCAGTGACCTCCATCTGTGTCTGTTTCTCTGTTTCTACTCAGGGGTGAAAGGGCAACAAGTGGAGCAGAGTCCTGAGTCCTTGGTTCTGCAGGAGGGAGAGAGTGCAGAGCTGCAGTGCAAGTTTTCCACAGTTTTGAACAGTATGCAGTGGTTTTATCAAAGTCCTGGGGGACCCCTCATCAGCCTGCTCTCCAATTCTTCTGGATCAGAGCAGATTGGAAGACTGAAGTCCATGACAGTCACTCAGGAACCTGGTAGCTCTTTGTGCATTTCCTCCTCTCAGACCACAGACTCAGACACTTATTTCTGTGCTATGGATGCAAGGTGTCCCCACACACCTGCAGCCAGTACACAAAGCTTAACCACTCACAGGACCTATCACGAAGCTACAACAGAACTTTCTGCCTGGTTTAGTATCCCCTTTCTTGTGTTGGTAGAAATTTAACCTCAGGTAGGTTTTGGACTCTGAGTATTGTGGCTTTGGTTTTATCTTCATTTCTCCATGTATACTCCATCTAGAAGCATCAGTGTTAATCTTAGAGCTAACAGAGAAGACATTGGAAGACACAGTCAAAGTAATCATTTAAGCTGCAGTGTGCAGATCTCACAAAGGACAGAAGAAAGGGAACTATAAGGCAAAGGCAGGCTTCCAGGTCACCTGCTGCAGACAGGGTCAGGGTTAGTGAGAAGAAAACAAACTACAGCAACATCAGGAAGGTCCAGTCATGGAAGACACAGAATGTACAGAGAGCTGATGTCCTGGTTTCCTTTCTGTTGCTGGGATAAACTTTGAGAAAAAAGTACTTACAGCCTGCAAGCATTTATTTAGCTCTCCTTCCAGTTCATAGTCCATCATTGGTGATCAAGGCAGGACCGCAAATAGGAGATTACAACAGTAAACATGGAGGAAATCTGTAGTTAGGTCACTCACAGACTCATACCTAAGAAGCTTTCTTATATGATCCAGGATATTCCCACAGAATGGTGTCACCTGCAGTGAACTTGTCCTCATACGATTCATCCTTTAAACATTTAAAAAAAATATTGCTTGGAATTTTATTGTTATTACTGAATTTATAGAAGATGTTGGGGTAAATTAAATCCTATGAATATTTGACTCATTATTTTGAATTACATTTTTATACATTTAACTTTAGTCAGTATTTCTCTGAAATTTTCCAGACAAAGGTCTGAATATCTTTAACACAATAATGAGACAAGAAACACAGGTAACTTATTCAACTGACTTTAAATAGAAGATTTAAAAACTCAATATCACAACTCAATAAAAGAGAATAAATGACTCAAATAAGCAGACCCTGTGCAACGAATGTGTACGGGATACACATGGTTTAGTGAAGTGGAGGTTGTAGCTCCTCATCCAAGAACCATGACTTTACTAGTAGAGGTAGCCATTGCAGAAAACCACTACCAGTCAAGACACAGAATTCTAAATTTTAGACCCATGCCAATGTCTACAATCTAACTCCTGCACCTAAGGCTCAGGAAACATTGACAAAAATGGGAAGGAATATGATAAGTACCAGAAGATTAGGGAGTTTGCTGTGAAACTGTGTCTCCTAAAAATGTCAGAAGCTATACATATGAAGACTCACAAACATGACTGCCTGAACAAAAACTGGACTTGGACAACAAGAATAGACATGCTAAAGTGAATGGAGGACAGTACACAGAGCCTCAGTCCTAGACAATGACATATTGGTACTTCAGGAATGGTGGTAGCATTTTCTAGAGAAGAACACATGAACTGGTTACCCATTGGTCATCCTGGAAAATGTACTTACAAATGGCATTATATAGATTGAATAGTTTGTATTTGTATATTTAGGAATAAGCCTGTATATACATACATATGTAACAATGACAAATGTATTCAATTACAAAGCTAGATTTTCACAATACATATCTACAAATCTAGCCCTACAGAAAGTTAACCCAAGGAAGTTAACTACACTCATAACATAACATAGACAATAAATAATCCCACTTCACCACAACCCAAAGGATAGCCCAGGGCGATTAGACTCACAATGCCACTGCTAACAAAATATCTAAAAAAAAAAAAAAAAAAGGTCTTAACTTGCCTATAAAAAGGCACAAGCTAACATACTGGATACTAAGACAGAATCTATCCTTCTGCTGCATACAAGAAACATATCTAAGCTTCAAAGACAGACATTAACTCAGGTTAAATGGATGGGAAAAGATCTTCCAATCAAATGGACACGTGCTTCTTGGATCCTAATATCTAACAAGTTAGACTTCAAACCAAAATCATTCAAAAGAGATGAAAACTGTTATTTTGTATTCTTCACAGGACAAATCCATCAGCACAAAGTCTCAATTCTTAACATCTATGCCCCAAATACAAAGGCAACCACATTGGTAAAAGAAATGCTACTAAAATTCAAAGCTCACATAAAAGCTCATACATTCATAGTGGGAGATTTTAACACCCCGCTCTCACCACTAGACAATACCACCAGACAGAAACTTAGTAAAGAAACAAAAGACAGCTATAGAACATTCCATCCAAACACAAAAGAATGTCACTACTTCTCAGTTTCACATGGTACGTCTCTAAAATCGACCACATACTAGGCGACATAACAGACCTCAACAAATTAAAAAAAAAATCGAATAGTCCCCTTTATCTTATCAGACCAACATGCTTTAAAGTTGGAATTTAACAACAATACAAATCGCAGAAACCCTACAAACTCATAGAAACTGAACAATGCTCAGTTGCACCATACCTGGATCAAAGAAGAAATGAAGAAAGAAATTAAAGAGTTCCTACAATTCAATGATAATGAAGAGACAACATATCTGAACTTATGGGACAATTTGAAAGCAGTGATATGAGAAAAGTTCATTGCATTAAGTGTCCATATGAAGAAAACGAAGGCTAGTCACATTAGAGAATTACACAGCACAACTGAAAGCCTTAGAATAAAAAGAAGCAAACTCACCCCAGAGGAGTACATGCCAGGAAATAATCAATTTGAGGGCTGAAATCAATAAAGTAGAAAGCAGGAAAACAATACAAAAAAATCAATGCAACAAAGAGTTGGGTTTACGAGAAAATCAACAAGATAGACAAACCTTTATCCAAACTAACCAAACAACAGAGAGAAAACATGCAAATTAGCAAAATTAGAAAAGAAGGATGTAAACAGACACTGAGGAAATACAGACACTTTTCAGGTCATACTTTGAAAACCTGTACTCCAAAAAAAATTTTAAAATTCAAAAGAAATGGACAAATTTCTGGATAACTACAACTTAACAAAATTAAATCAAGAACAGATAAGCAACTTAAATAGACCTATAACCCCAGTGAAATAAAAGCAGTCATCAAAAGCCTCCCAACCAAAATCAAGCCCAGGGCCAGATGGCTTCAGTACAGAATTCTACCAGAAATTCAAAGACGAGTGAATACCAATACTATTCAAATTGTTCCATACAATAGAAGCAGATTGTTCATTACCACACTCTTTTTATGAGGCCACAATTACTTTGGTACCCAAGCCACACAAAGACAAAACTGAGAAAGAAAACTATAGACCACTATCCCTCATGACCATTGATGCAAAAATACTCAATAAAATACTGGCAAATCGAATCCAAGAACACATCAGAGAAATAATCCACCATGACCAACTAGGCTTAATCCCTGGGTTGCAGGGATGGTTCAACATATGAAAATCTATCAGTGTGGTCCACCATATAAACAAACTGAAAAGGAAAAAAAAAAAAAAAAAAAAAAAACACATGATCATCTCCCTAGATGCTGAAAAATCCTTTGACAAAATTCAACACCCTTTCATTATAAAGGTCTTGAAGAGATCAGGGATAATAGGAACATGCCTAAACATAATAAAAGCAATATACAGTAAGCCAACAGCCAACATCAAACTGAATAGAAGCTTAAGGCGATTCCTCTAAAATCAGGAACAAGAAAAGGCTGCCCTTAATCTCCATATCTCTTCAATATTGTACTTGAAGTTCTAGCTAAAGCTATAAGACAAGACAATGAGATCAAGGGGATACAAATTGGAAAGGAAGAAGTCACACTGTCACTATTTACAGATGATATGATAGTTTATATAAGTGACCCAAAAAACTCTACCAGGAAACTCCTACAGCTGATAAATACCTTCAACAAACTAGCAGGATACAAGATAAACAACAACAACAAAAAAAAAATCAGGAGCCCTACTATATACAGATGATAAAGGAGCTGAAAAAGAAATCAGAGAAACACCACCCTTTACAATAGCCACAAACAACATAAAGTATCTTGGGGTAATGCTTACCAAACAAATGAAAGATCTATATAATAAGAACTTTGTGTGTTTAAAGAAGGTACCTGAAAATAAAAAGATTTCCCATGCTCTTGCATAGTGGGATAAACATAGTAAAAATGGCAATCTCCACATTCAATGCAATCCCCATCAAAGTCCCAGCACAATTCTTACTGACCTTGAAAGGAAATTAATCAACTTTATCTGGAAAAACAAAAGACCCAGGATAGCCAAAAACAACCTTGTATAATAAGGGAACTTCAGGAGGCATCACTATCCCTGACTTCAAGCTCTACTATAGAGTTATAGTCGTGAAAACACCTTGGTATTGGCACAAAAATAGGCAGGTAGACAGATGGAATCGAATTGAAAATCCTGATATTAACCCGCCCACCTATGAACACCCATTTTTTAACAAAACAGCTAATATTATACAATGGAAGGAGGAAACCATCTTCAACAAACGGTGCTGGCACAACTGGATGATGGTGTGTAGAAGACTGCAGATAGACCCATGTCTCTTGCCACACACAAGTCCAAGTGGAATAAAGACCTCAATGGAAATCCAGCCACACTAAACCTCTTAGAAGAGAAAGTGGGAAGTACCCTTGAACAAATTGTTACAGGAGACCACTTTCGGAACATAACTCCAATAGCACTGACATTAAGACAGATAATTAATAAATGGGACCTCCTCAAACTTAGAAGCTTCTGTAAGGCAAAAGACACAGTTGACAAAAATCAAACAGAAGCCCACAGATTGCGAAAAGAACTTCACCAATCCTACATCTGACAGAGGGCTGATCTCCCTAATATATAAAGAACTCAAGAAACTAGTCACCAAAATATCAAATAACCCTATTTAAAAATGAGGCACTGAACTGAAGAGAGACTTTTCAATACAGGAAATCAAAAAGGCTGAAAGACACTTAAGAAAGTTCCCAATATCCTTAGCTATCAGGGAAATGAAAATCAAAACAATTTTGAGACACCATTTTACTTCTGCCAGAATTAGAAACACCAATGACAACTTATGCTGGAGCGGATGTGGAGAAAGGAGAACACTCCTCCACTGCTGGTGGGAGTATAAACTTGTACAGCCATTTTGGAGATCAAT